TTACCCTTACTATGCCACGTGTCGAACTGTAACTGGCTTTTACAAAATATGTAGCCAACAATATGACATTAATAAATAACAATATTAGAATTGCAAGAACCACAAATAAAACCAGACACAAAAACTTATAAATGGACTAACCACAAAAACCCTTGCCACTACAACATAAAAGTGCCACAAAACTATTGGTTTAATGATATTTTTTAGCCTTGTGGCATTTTGCACAAGTGCCATTTGTATCCGTGCCACGGTAGATTGATTTCCAGTCCCATAAAAAAGGGTAAAATCTGGTATCCTGAATCCCCTTGGGTATTCATGTACCCTATCTACCCATTCTGGGTATGGTTTTCTGTATATAGGAGTCTGGACCCCCCGAGTCATTGGTCCACATATCTCCCTAACAATATCAGTAATCTGGTCTCTAGGGACCATATTTTGTGCCTGCTGAATTACTACTGGAGGAGCAAACACAGGATTTGGTGGACAAACTTGTGCTTGTGGTCCTCTTGGTCCATAAGGTGGTAAATTTGGGGCTGGTTGTCCTTGCGGTGCAGGTTGCTGTTGGGGGTGTGGGTAACCCCTTTGAGCCTGACCTGCGAAAGGACCTGCAAAAGGTGCTGGAACAGGTGTTGTGTCTCTGCCATTTGTAGGAAAACCCTCCAACCCCCCCGGGTGTAAATTCGAATAAGGGATTAGTGTACCCCCTTGTGCCAGGTATGGCTTCGAACATGGGATTTGTAACCATTCTTATGCCAGTTTCTTGTATTTGGCCAGATCCACCAACTTGTGTGGCTTCATTATTAAGTGCTGAGGTATTTTGGCCTGCTATAGGCCTTGAAATGGGTTCATACCAAGACTGAGGTGATGGTCTTTCAAAGTTTTGGGTACTAGTTTGTCCATTAACTTGCATAGGCTGTTTTTCTCTAGCCAATCTTTGTTGGGGGACATTTACGACTTCCTCCGTGTGTCTTGTGTTTGTTGGTTGGTGGTTATTCATTCGATCCAAAAAGGATGTTGCCCACCTTTCCATTGTGTTCATTAATTGTTGTCCCATGGCATCTACTAAACTATCCCATGGATTTGTTGGTTGAGTAAATGGCACAGTGGATGGTCCAATTCCTTGGTTTCGTCCAGTAATATGAACATATGGTTCTTGTCCACCATAGGTTCTGATAATATAGGAATTTCCACAGGATGTGTTACCACATTATCCTCTGGATTTGGTATTTCTACCTCTCCTTCCACGCCTTCTTCCAAGCGTTCATTTTCTCCTTGTCGTCTTCTTCTAGCCATTTTTAATTAGGTCCCACTGGGCGTGCCAAAAATATATGTTGGCTTTTTGGCTTTTCGAAGGGTATTTTTGCAAATGCGAGCGTGCCAGCAAGGATCAATCAGTCCTTACAGAAATTATAATTGCCAACCAATTATCAGACGATTGTGTTTTAGTTCTTTTCAGCCTCAATGAAGAGGACTTTTACTGGTGGCCTGACTTAGGAGAAATTAAGAGAAACAACAGTATTATGAAGAACAATTGAAGTATTTCATTAAAATGAACACTTACAATGGTCCGAACTCAGCCTCGAAGAGGATTACAACAGCAATCTACTTGAATCTACTTGAAGCTACTCCTATGAATCGAAGTGCAGTGCGGGTATTTAAAGTGTAGGTATTTAAAGACTGGAAATGTAAAAGACTGGAAAAGAAAATATATGAAGTAAATGACTGGTTTATATGATCTGAGTTCGTCCTTTTTTTCTGGGGGCTGCCCTGCTATTTATACTCGTCAGTGATGACCTTCGAACTGCACTTCGAACCGTCGAACTGCTCCTCCATGATCGCTGATCATGCTTCCTTACAAGTAGCTCCATTACGCCATTACTGGCAGTTGAGCTTCCCTCTTGTACTTGAATTTGAATATGAGTAACCGTTGAAGATATGTCATCTTGCATCCCGTTATTGATCTAGTGTTACTCAGATCATGTGAGGGCCAATATTTATTGCCACGTGTACGATCAGGATTAAAGGCTTGAATAACCTTCCTTTATTACCCTTACTCTGCCACGTGTCGAACTGTAACTGGCTTTTACAAAATATGTAGCCAACATTACTCAAACGAATAGTGGAAATTCATGGACTATTTCTTCATCTCTAGGTGAAGATGTGGTGAAAAAATGAAAAGAAACAAGTAAGGAAAGGTATAGTGGTGGGTTTTCTTCTTTTCTGCAATTGGTATTTCAACCCAAATCTGTATATATCACAGATCTATGTTGAAAATCCAAAGTTAAACAAGTCTATGTGTGAAGTTTATAAAAAAAATTTAATTAAGATAAGAAAAATAATTTTGCAGTTGATTATGAATTTTTAGGTTTTGATTGGGTTGGTGGATTTTTTCACTTTTTATTCCATAAATTGATCTCTTTTAGCATTGAGGAACACAAACACAACTTGATTCTTCTTCTGAATAGTGAGTGTGAATGGTTGATTTCAATAGATAAAATAACAAATTTGTTGAATTTTTTATTTTTAACATATAAAATAAAAGTCAAATATGTTCAAATATGTTTCAATAGATAAAAAATTGTACAAATAAAATTTGGATAGATAACAAATTTTGGACGCATATTTGAACAGATAAAGGGAAAAATTTGAACAAATAAAAATAATTTGAACGAATAGATATAAAATTTGAACAGATAGAAAATAATTTGAAAAGACAGATATAAATTTGAACAGATAGTCAATGAAAAGTCAACAGATGTATTAAGGGGTAAAATTGAAAATAAATGTCCTTCAAAGTCAACAAAAAAGTTTTTTACCAAACTATTTCAGAAATGGCAAACCTCTCACTAACAACAAATATTCACTAGACCTAATAACTTATAATTTTTTTACCTTGAACTTTTCAATAATTTTCACTTAAAATTAACCAGTACGATCCGGACATATTGGCCTTAAATGTTCCATGTTATTTCTTGAAGTAAAGAAAATTCCAAGTCATCCTCTAAAACATCTTTTTTTTTTTCTTTTTTTTTTTTTTCATAAAAAGGCTTCCATCCAGTACATTCATGAGCTGAAGGTCCATTTTGCGGCTAAGGCTTTATTTGAGAACTTATCTTTTTAGTCAAAAATTTAAAAAATTATTATAAACAACTGATAGATTATCTCTATTTTTTTGCATTTTTCTTTCGTAAATAATCAAAAAATTCAATAAAAAGTTAATTCCCAGTGATTTTAAGTTTCTTTTTGTAGGATTTACGGGTTAGTCTTTTTGACCAAATTTATTTACTTATAAGTTTTACTTCTTTTTTTACCTATCAATATTGTCAAAAGTGTTGGGGAAAAAATAAATATTTTAAGTTTTATTGGTATATTAAAAACAATACAAGACTTATATAGGACTAACCCATAATTTACCTTTTCTTTTTTCTGTATTCTCTTCCTCTTTCCTTTTATTTCTTTATGACTTTTCTGATTTCATTCATAAAGACATTATTTTTTATTTATATTTTTGAATTATTCTATTTGATATTTGATATTTATATTAATTATTTATAATGTAGGAAAAAATTATGATTTTAAAATACTTTTACAAAACTATGATTAAACAATTGTAAAGATCATTCTACTAATAAATCTAACAAGAGATACAAATATAAGTTGCCGGTTTGTAAGTGAACATATAGGTTCAACTACAAAAGGTTTTTTTTTCCTTTTTTTCTTTTTTTTTAAAAAACAATTGGTGAAATACCTTTCTTCAACTTTGAATAGTAGGAGAAGTCCAATATATTTTTTTTATTAGTTAAAATCCCTTGATAAAATTTCTCTGTAATCATATCAAAGAAATTTCAAAATTTCTTTATGAAATCAAAGAAATTTTTCTATGAGAAAATAAAATTTCTTTGTGTTGGAACAAAATTTCTCTGTGTCGGAACAAAATATTTTTGTCAATTTTCTCTGTAAAAATATTAAAGGACCTCAACTATTATAAAAATATTATATATCTTTTATCTTATAAAATCTTAATATTAAAGACTTTTTTTTTTTAATTTTCAAAGCTCCTTTCGGTAATTTTTTTTCTTTTTTTAAATGTTCAATAGAAAATCACCACTTCTACTAATTCCATCACTTCTTATATTATCACGCTGGTGATCTATCTATCGACCAAAAAACAGATATTACTAAGGTTAAAGGCTCATCCATAATAAGGAAATAAGTCTCATGAATGTTGGGTAGGCATCATAACATTAAGGCTCATTTTATTTTATTTTATGTAAAATAATTTTCACAGTTTTTAATAGCACAAGCAAAAAATTAGTTAATAGTCATATAATTTTATTTATTAAAAAAAAAGTGAATGATTTATTCTTAAAATCATACACAATATTTATTTTTTTTAAAATAAATGTAACACAATTATATGATTGACGATGTCCAGTCAAATTAATTTTATACATAAGTGATATACTGGAACAACACTAAAAAAAGGAACGGTCGAGATCTGATCAGGTGAACTCAAAGTGAGCCCACATATCATGAACTGATCCTCCTCGTAGTTGATTTTCTTTTATTATTTTATTTTGTTTACAAGACAAGCAAACCTGCCTTCAATTGCTAGAGAGAGGGGGGGCGATATAAAGATTTCCTAGTGGTTGGTGGAAGGGAGACCCAATTGGCTGAGGTGACGGTGCATGTCGTTAGGGTGGTCATCAAGTTTGGGCCGTTCAGGTTGAATCCAACGGCCATCGGCCCTGTTTCGTACCATGCCTTTGTTCTCATCTTGCCTCCAGTGAGGTGGTACCATGTGGTGATCTTTGAGAAAATCACAGGCCTTGTTCACCAGTGCTGGGTCCCTCCCACTTGCTAGCACAAATCTATGCCCTCTTCCATGGTACCTGTCATCACAAACACCGTACATCTAGAGTTTAGGTTTTTTTTTTCTTTAATGGAAAATTAGGGTTTAGTTTTAGTTGATAAAAATTTTTACACTTCATTAAAATGTTAAGATTTGAGTTGGAGGAATTAAAATAAACTGTAAATGTTAGTTTTAAGCATGTTCATTTCTGAAGAAGCTTAAAAAAGACTAATGTCTTTTTCAAATCTTTCTTTACCTTCCTCGAATTCAAAGTTGTCTTTTTCAAATATTTCTTTACCTCACTCGAATTCAAAGTTATCCCGTTATCACACGAGATCTCTTTAACTTGATCAAGTAGTAAATAAAAAAATTGAGACAAGGTGATAAAAAATATCCGGATAGAAAATCGGTACTGCCATCGCTTAAAATATACACTTATTACACCAATTAAGATCTCGTTTAGGAATATATTATTTTAATAATTTTTTAACTTTTTACAAAAATGTGTAAAAAATAGAAAAAATAATGTGATAACTTATAGTGACTTTTTAATTTTTTAACTAAAATTAAAAGTTGCCAAACGAAACTTAATGAACATAAAATAATTATATATTATTTATTATTTTAAATTTTATTAAACAATATACATGGAATGCTGATTAACAAGATATATAACAATTGCATCGTTATCTTACTTAGTAGGGAGAGACATTAAAATACACAAAACGTTTTTGTATTCTTTTGCTTTTATTGAAAGTCGTGAATTGGAGTGCCCAAACTTAACTATTAGAAGATTAATATAAGGCAATAGGACAAGATGCGTATTTTTCTTATTTTTGTTTTGTATAGCTTGTGAGCTAGCTTACCCCACATTACATAATAAATACTATAGTGTCAGTCCGCCAGCTATCGAAATCATATGCCTATAATATATGCAATTCCAACATGCCCACTAATTAATTAAATTGCTAGCTTTGGCCCTAACTATTTTTTTATATTTATTTTAAAAGATAATCCCATCCCATCATGATGATTTATTATTTCTTACTTAAGTAGTTTCTGTCTTCTAATCTAACTAGCATAAAATATTAATGAGTGTATGAGCATCTTTGATAAGTTGGTCTTTTTAAATAAGTGGTTAAAATGTTGCAAAAAGTTACTTAAAAATAAATGTTGTCTAAAACAAATAAATGAAGACAAAAAACGAAAAGAAAAAAAGATGCAATTAATTTTCTTAAGAAAACAACTATTGCCAGCCGAAAACAACTATTTCGGAAGTTATTTTATAAAATTATGTAAATTTTCATAAATATATGTAAATTATAATTTTTTAAATTTTTATAAGTTAACTTACATATATTTATAAAAATTTACGTAATTTTATGAGATAACTTACATATATTTGTGAAAATTTATGCAAGTACATATAATATGTACTTGCGCACTGAAGAATTATTTATTAAAATCGAGAGAAAAATAATTACAAATATAAAAATATTACATCTAATAGATTATTAATTTAACAATAATTAAAAAGTCCAATATTCACTGCTGGTTACATATAACCCAGCCCAAGTGCAATAATAAATCCACATGTGAAGAGAAATAAACAATCAAAATTCTCCTTTATAAGAGTTTAACCTGTATAATTTTATCCTAGAAAATAAAAACTATGGTTATTTATTATGTTTATTTCTTACAGGAGGAAAAGTGTTGATGGTTACCTATTTAAAAGGTCATGTCAATATACATGTAAAAAATAATAATATATGACTGCATATAAAAATATAAGAAAAAAAATTGTATTAAAATTAAAATTATTTTGACATTATTTTAATCTAAAAAACAAGCCAATAAACTATTTTCAATGACACTCTTATTAAAATCACTGTCAACTAATTTATCGCCGATACATTTTCTATATTTTTTTAGATAAATTACAACCATAGTTCTTATATTTTGCTTTTTATATTATTTTAAGTGACTTAATTTTAACTTTTATTTTAAATTTTGTTCTAATTTGATTTAATTAATAATATTGTTCGTGTTTTTTTTTTTGAAAAATTATCACTAAAAAAATACAAATACACTCCTGAGGTTTGATTAAAATATAAATCGTCTCTTATGATTTTAAAAATTACATTCCACCCCCTGAAGTTTCTAATTTCATAACAAATCATCCATTTTATTAATAAATCATCAAGTCAATTAACAGTTTTTAATGATGTTAAAAATATGTTTTCATTAATAATTTAAGTAATTTTTTTATTGTATAGGAGAGCAATTATGAATTTCATTTATTTAGTTAATTCTGTTAAATAAAAATTTTTAATAAAAGGTATTTGTAATTTTTCAAATCACATAGGCAATCTGTATTTTAAACAAACCTCAGAAAGTGTATTTATAATTTATCCAAAAACAAACTAACGTGAGTTTATAATTTTACCCTTAAAAAAATAGCACGTAACACTTATACCCGTATTTTTCATAAAAAATATAAGATTTGTAATCAATTTGACCAAATTAAAACAAAATTATAAATTCATAATCAAAATCGAATCAATTGAAAGCATAAGAACTAAAATAATACAAGAAATAAAGTATAGAACTGCCATTGTAATTTATCTTATTTTATGTAAAATTATTATCACACGAGTCCATGATGTCGTATGAAATATTTTTTCTATTTTTTTATCACCAACCTAGTGTCCATACTTTGTTAAAAATAAAAAAATAAAAATAATTGAAAAAAACCTGGTGTCCATACTTAGCTAATGCAAGTGCAATATAATAATATTTGCAAGTCAAATAAAAAAATGCCATACTATTTTGTTTAATAAATAAATAACCAAAATGACTAACCCATCAAGCAGATGCAAGTGAGCCTCCAAGTTATGGGCACAAGCCGGGTCTCCATCGGGTTTGAGAAACGGAGAGTTCTTGTGATCCAAAGCCAGCTCTACCCCCACGTGCGAGTAACACCACGGCAGCCCCTCCGCCATCTTCATCACCGCCGCTGGCACGGTCTCGTTTAAAAACAACCCCGGCGATTTCGGCACCATATCGTGAACATTCACTACCCTCAATACCTTCATACCCAGCAACTCGACCCGTTCTTTAAACCGGACATTCCCGACCCGAGGGCCCGCAAATGAAAACACACAAACGGGTACGGCCCGGCTGTCACCCAACACGTTTAAACCCGTTTCCACAATATCATACCCGCTTAAAATCGCCAACGCACTCCCCAAACTATGCCCCGTAATCGTGATGCTCAATTCCTCGTTTGGGTACATCTCTATCAATCTCTTAACCTCGGTTAGGACTTGTTCCCTCGCCGAGTATTTGCAAAATCGGCAATTCTCCTCTTTATCGGTGTAGAGATCGAGAAATCCAGATTCGACTTTAACAGTCGAATCGGGACAAGGGATTTTATCCGATGAAATAGGACGCAAAAAATCCATTAAATCGGCGACCCACTCGAGCCGAGTCACCGTGCCCCGCCATGCAATGGCTATGTCACGGCGGCCCAACCGCTTCGACGTCTCGTCGTTGGACACCGCCACGTAGCCGATCCAATTAGCGTGTTTGCTCCACACCTTCGGCCACCGCGATTTCTTGAAAAAATTGGGCAAGTTGATGTTGGAAGTGGCGTAGAGGTATCGCGAGACATCGTAGCCGCAACTTTCCATAGAGAGGCGCGTGAAGAATTCGTGGCGGCGCGTGAACCTAACACTGCCACAGTATTTGGAGAAGGGGTCGAAGTCGAAGGCGTCGTAGCAGGCTTGAGCCATCTCGCCATAGCGGATCAGCTCGGAGCGTAGTAGGGGGTGCATTGGGTCGAGCAAGCCGAGCCAGTCGTTGTCGCCGAGTATGTCTCGCCAGGACTCGGCTAGTGAGGGTTGGGTTTGGGTTTGGGTTTGGGTATGGAGAGAGGTTGTGAGAGTGGTGGAAGAGGAGGACTCAGTTGGGTTGGACAAGACATGTGGTGGTGTTGAGAGTGTGAAGTAGTGACGTTTTTGGTGTAAGAATGGTGAGAAATGGTGTTTGTGGGAAAGGAGAAGAGGGTTGTCGTGGTTGTGTGGTTTGAAGGGGAGAGAGGTGTTGGGTGGAGAAATGGCCATTGGAGGGTCTTTGTGAGGGAGCTCAACTTGGATGAGAGTAATGAATTTGGTTGAGAATAAATGAAATAGGGATGGGGTGGGGGAGAGAGAAAGTGAGAGGTGGTATTAGAACTCCAACAAGTTACTCAAAATGGAATGCTATACTAATCTAAAAGTTAGATAAATTTTTAAAATTTATCGATGTAATAATTGTTGAAAATCGAGTTAGAGCATCTTCAACGATGACTTAAATTTTTTACCAAATTTGAGTAAAAAATGACTAATTTCACCAAATTTGATACCACTCACTCCAACGGTTCACCTTTCACCAAATCTATCCCGAGACAACCGCGTGGTCGACCGGCCGGTTGACCGGTTAGGCAAATTTTTTTATTTTTTTTTTCGCGAATTGTCTGAACTTTTTTTTGAACTTTCGGAACGACCGGGTGGTCGACTGGCCGGTTGACCGGTTAGGCAATTTTTTTTTTTTTTACGGTTTGAACTTTTTTCCTGAACTGTTTGAATCTTTTACTGGTCGACCGGTTGGTCAACCGGCCGGTCAACCGGTTGGTCAACCGGCCGGTCAACCGGCTGGTTGACCGGTTGGTCTCCCTCCAACGGTCACCAACAGTGTTTTGGTGAAATCAGTATTTCGTCGTCAGTTTGATAAATTTTTTGATGAAATCTCAATCTGATATTCATTTGGTGCAACCGTTGGAGCAATGAACAGCAACTTTTTCATCAAAATTTGAATTTGATATCAGTTTTGGTGAACCGTTGGAAATGGTCTTAGATTTTAGCCTGATTTAGACACACATAGTGATATGACTCATAAACTCACGTAGTTACCTTAGTAGTTTGATTTTCAAATTATCTTATTTCAGGAATAATAATTCATAATCTCATCTCCTAAGCTGCTAGAGTTGTGGGTGGTTATATTTCTTGTATTTATATATATTGCGTATAATGTGATATGAGTTTTAACGGAATACTATTTCTAAAAAAAAAATTTGACCTTGTTTGATTTGTTTTTTAGATAATAATTTTGGAAAATTTTTTTTAAAATTTTGTTTGGTTTAGTAATTTTGAATTTTTTTTTAAATCACTTTCTCTCTTACACATCAATTAATCAATCAATTTTTCTCTCTTCTCTCTCTTTCTTAATCAATTTTTTTCTCACACATATCTACTTAATTACAACAAAATATCAAATCATCACAAACTCCTATAATTCAAAATTATTTTCAAAATATGCAACCAAACAAATTAAAAAAAATTCTAAACTCTCTTTCCAAAAAAATTTTTGAAAATTTATTTTCTAAAACCAAACCAAACACACCCTTTCTCTTTCTAACTCTCTGTCATGGGAGAACAACCAGGCCTTTGTACTGTGAAGAGTGTGGATAGTTCTCTAATAGTTTTATCCCACTGTTGGGAATTATTCGAAGACGTTAATGGAGACACGTAATTCACCCACATGATCCATCGATTCGGTTTGAGCATAACATGTATGGATTGAACTTGCTAATCCGTTGTGTATAAATATTTATATATTGGTATCAAAGCTATTGTTAGATATTTTCATGTTATTTGTGCATGAATATATGTATAGATATGATTTGGGCATAAAATTGATATTTTTGAATTATCTCTAATCATCATGAATTTCATATATGTTGTAATCTATATTATTTAGATTATATTTGCAAAATTTTACAAAAATTAGATTGCCGAATTTTGAGAAAAATGAAGATTTATATTTGATTTTCGTAACTTTGACTACATATTGTTTTTACATTCTTCGTTTTCATATTATAAAAATTACATATTTGAAATCTTTATTTCGAAACCTTCAAAACAGCATATTATAAGTCTGATTCTGACCTAGGGGTTGAGAAATCATAAATCCTAATTTGAGTTCGTTATTGTGTTTTTGATAGCTCATTATAAAAGATGAATTTGAAGAGAATCTATACTCCTACTCTCATTAGAGAGGCTGGATCACACTCCTTATCTTAGGCTTGTCAAAATAAAAAACCGAGACCACCATTAAATTCCTCTAAAAAAAGTGAGTGTTTTTTTGAGAAGTTTTGAAAAGTTGGTAAAAAGTCAATTTTTAATTTTTTACCAACTTGATCACATCACTTTTTACATAACTTATTCATAAAAAGACAAAATAAATTTAAAAAGTCAAAAAAATTAATTTTTTATCAACTTTTCAAAACACCATTGAGTCAAAATAAGCCAAAATGGAGTTCGGTGGTGCGTGGGCCCACACGCCGAGGCTATGTTCACGTACTTCCAAGGGTTGACGCGCTTTGACTTGTGCTGACATCAGCGCTGACCAAGATGTTGACGTCACCTGCTGAGGTAAGTGTTGACGCAAGTGACGTGACTATCAAGACTCTGTTTGTTTATTTTTAACAAAAATGCTAGAGGCCCCAAAAATTTTACCAAAAGTTTTACCAAATGTCTTACATGGGTGTGGGACCCACATGGGACCCACATTCTGTGGGCCCCACACCCATGTGAGACATTTGGTAAAATTTTTGATAGAATATTTGGGGTCACTAACATTGCTCTATTTTTAATTTAAAAACTATGTTAATTGCTTCTATATTACTCATTATAACTCCAATTGAATTATGACTTATACTATTGGACTCGTAATTCAATTTTCTACAATAAGATAAGATTTCACAATTTTTTGAGAAATAAAATATTTTTTATTAATAAATAATTCAATATTTCTACGTTAAATTGTTTTTGGAAGAGCATGGCTTAGTTTCTAGACTTGAAATTTTTAAAGTAGACTATTGTTATGTAATCTTATTTACTAGTATGAGTTTTTTATTTTTTCAGATTCTGTAATATTTATTTCTGATTTTATGTGTAATTATTAATTACTTATAATTCTAAAAAAAATTAAAAAATTGTAGAAATTATAGAAATTTGTTATGGCAATATTTAAATACTAAATACAGTATGTTAAGTTCTTTTAAATATTTAGAACTTTTAGTATGTTGTTATTTTAAATAGTATGATTTATTTATATTGATGAATTTTAATTCCATGATTAAATTATGTTGTAGCATATTTTCTTTTATGAATTCACATTGAGATACTATTGTATGGAATTAATATTTTATCATACTTTAGACATACCATAATTAGTGAGAGGTTGTTCGGTTGAGAGAAATCTTTATAGATTTAATCTTGAAAATCAATATTTTTGTGCATGAATTAAATTAAAATTTGAATAATTCTCATTTGTGGCACAAGAGATGATTATGAGCATAGCGGATTTTCGATCTTGCGACTTGCATAATATTGTCACTATTTAATTTAAATTTTTGTAACAAAATTATATTATAATATGCTAATCAAATTAATCCCAATACGCATTTTTCCATCTAATTAACTTAGTTTATAGAAGTTAATTTGGTTGACTTAGACTTAGTAGAAATGTTCAAATGTGAATAATGTAATCCTATTCTTTAGATGAGCAAAAAGGATTAAAGATTTTAGGTTAGACCTTGGTTGAGCCAAAGTAAGGAACACAACTTAACGTCGCCGTAGTTTTGTTGCATTGTTTAGCGCAATAAAAACTGATGTGTGCAATATGATTAGTGGCACATTAAATGTAACTCGACTTTTCGTGCTCCTTTTAGATACAACTAGCCCTACAGTTCGAACTCTAGCGGTTCCGAATCTAATATCACAAGTGCAATATGAAATAATGTGAAATAGATAAATACTAAAGAGTCCAAATCTGGCAAATCTTTTGAAAAATCGATTTTAAATCAAAATGCCAAAAATGGACTATTTTGCCAGATACAAAGTCGCTACCTAAATATTTTTTGGAAAATTTAGGAAACCCATGACTCGTGCCAAAGGCCACATGTTCGTCATTACCAAGATTGTCTCGGCTCGGAAACTTAGGTACGAGAGAAGAAGGTCATGAATTGAGCACCCCACTCGTCCGATCAAAGATCGGCCTCTACTAATCATAATGTGATTCTTATTTATATTATATGCTCTTGTTTCGATTATTATGCTAACATTACTATGTGCTACGCACACAAGTATAAACTAATTGCAAAAATTGAAACACTTTGATTCATGTTTATTTTGAAAAATTATTTCGAATATGTACCACTTGAAAAAGTGATCTTATATGAACATTACTCAAATTATTCCAATTCATGCAATTAGTCTTTATCCGTAGGCATTCAAGCAATTTATCACTTAAGCAATTAGTCTTATGGCAAGCATGCTAAACATAACAACAATCACACTCATGCAAAATGCTAAAGCAAAAATGCTCACCTAGTACTCCGAGGCGAGCCAAAAGAAACAAAAGAGTTAGAAAACATGAATGCTCCTAACTAATGTAACATGACTAATGCAATACATGCGATATGCAACTAATAGACTTGGCTACTAGTATACCATGTGAATCAATCTTATAGCATGCGGTTTAAACACGTATTCAATGAAGTATTTAAACAACAATGTATTGTTAGAATGATGAACCAAGTCTCGATGCATGCAACACAAGTGGATTCAAACATGGAGTATGCTAAAAGAAACATGACGTTCTCTTTTAACCATCATAAGCAAGTAAATAAAAGGGAGAAAGACGTGGGGTTGGAAGACATACACATTATTACAAGTTTGGCCCTTGCACAAGAGGGTCCGAATGAACTAACTAGGTAACTAATTACCTAATTAACTAACTATTACAAAACCCAATGAAGTAAATTAACTAAACTAGCTAATTAACTAATTATTACAACAATAAATTTAACTAACTATTTTACCTAATTAAATAAATACAACACTAAACTAAATAGCTATTCTAACTAATTAATTACAAGTCCGCTATATTACAACACTAATATTACAACAACACTTCATGGATCCTAAGAATCGAGAGATGGCTTATGCAACGATGGCTTATGCAATGAACACGGATTTCCACCCGATAATGCTTTCCGTTTTGCTACTAGAATGTCTCTGTTGCACAATTAGAAAATTGCACATGTTTTCCACCTCAACCTTTGCTCTGCTCTGCTAAAAAATGGACACTGCTGGGCCAAAAA